GGCAAAACTTTAAAAAACCCCATAGCAGCCTCCCCCGAAAAATTTGGAAGATTTTAAGACCGGTTGCAAGAAGATCGGTCCACAAATGCAGGAGTAGTTCCCGATGAAACAAACAAAAAGTGTGAATGCGTGGGTGGGTGCGTGGGTGAGCAAAACTTAAAAAAAACCCCATCGTCACAATCCCCCCCAAAAAAACCTTCTTAGCAGCCTCCCCCGAAAGATTTGGAAAATTTTAATACCAAGAAAGGACTATGCAATGGCACAGGATTCATTGTTATTGATCTAAAATCTAATCTGATTCATGCTTTTACTAGCTTTTGAGCCCGCGCGAACACAATCCCCCCCAAAAAAAACCTCCTTAGCAGCCTCCCCCGAAAGATTTGGAAAATTTTAATACCAAGAAAGGACTATGCAATGGCACAGGATTCATTGTTATTGATCTAAAATCTAATCTGATTCATGCTTTTACTAGCTTTTGAGCCCGCGCGAAGCGCGGGCGAAAAAGCTAGTATTACATATGAATAAAAGAATATAGAATATAAATTTTTGAAACACTAAATTATATTCAGTATATAACGTGCACATGCAAGGCGCTCTACATTTGCAATTGCTGGTAATATTTTTTTTGCTATAAATTAAAGCTCAGTTACTATTATTATTACAGATGGCGTCAAATGCTCCAAGAACGAGCGATCTTTTACTCAAGCTTCCTCCTGCATTCGCGTTAGATGGCAGTACAGTACACATGATCGGTGAGCTCCAAAATATTCATCGTATTTTATAAAATGTTTAAAAATGCACCTTTTTCGAGTATTAAGAAAAATATAAGTTTTTGTGTTTTTATGCGCTTTCCATAGATAATTACTATATTTATATAAACTTTTTTTTCGCGAAAGTTTGAATTTAATAGAGCAAATTCTTTCAATATTAAAGTGTAATGTGAAGTTACACGATCGAAAAATGGAAAATTTGAAAAATAGAAAACTCGAATTCATGGGTTATTTCCATCTGATAACAATTTATGTTTATCTCAATTCATTGGTGAGACGCATCAGACAAAGCCTCACCTTCCAAAAATTTGAAATTTTTGTAAATGTAAAAGGCGCAAGACGTTTGTATTTCCGTCCGTTACATACAAGCAATTGTGAATTTTTAAATGCGAGAAATTAATTACGTTTGATTCCGTCTATTCTAGGATATGAAACGGTATATATACCTATATGAGTATAATACTTTTATATAAGATACACATACACAATGCAACAACAAAATTGTTACAGAAAGTAACTGAGCTCATAAACTCAAATTTTCCATTTTTCACGGTTCCCTTTTATATAACACTGCGTGGTGCATTTTAACATTGAAAAAGCTTTTAAACGAGTTACGAAAACGTTAAATATAAAAATAAAATACTAAATATTTAAAAAGTGTAATATAAAGTTAAAAATTTCATGAGACAACATAAACGATACACACGCGCTCAGTTATTTCCATCTGTACCAATTTATATTTGTTCTAATATTTATTGATGAGGCCTTAGCGTAAAATCTCACCTTCCAAAAATTCTGATGGACACTTTAAAGTAAATGCGTAGCGTATTTTTGGAAAGTGAGAATTTGCATGTACACATCGCCAATAAATTGACACAAACATAAATGTCTATGAACACGAATTTTTCATTTTTCAAGTTATTTCTTTTTTGATCATGTAACTGCGTAGTGCACTTGAGCATTAAAAGAGCTTTCGAATGAATTACGATTATTAAACATAAAAATATAGGATAAAATTTATATGTAAAATATTACAAACCTGTAAAATAAACCTAGCAATTAGAGATAACACACAATACAACGACACTCGTGTTCGACACGCATACAATGAAAAAATCTCGAAGAGATTTTCTAAATTAAAATGTTTAATGTTAATATTTTCTTCTGACAAAAATTTGAAAAATTCGGGACAAGTTTGAGCTCAGATTTAATTTCGATAGTTTTGTGAGTCGTAATAATTAGCGATAAAGAAACTTTTTTTATGTTTCTTCAATATGTATTAATGATAATCGAGAGCTTTTCAAGTCAAGTATTATATACAGGTTATAATTTTTATCGGTCTTACGTATTCGTACTTTTACGTTTTCTTTAATCATATCTGAGACACATAATAGAAAATCATAATTGGGCACTTCTGATAATAAAAGAATCAAGCTTTCACTTTAACCTTTTTTCTTTGCTTAGTATAAAACGTGTAAATCTTAAAACCCGATGTCTTGCGAAAAACCTGTCAACGACTTAGCGAGGCGCAATCCGCGCAGCGTAGGCTCGCGTTAATGACGCGTCTATATATCCTATGCGCAACTTCCTGAGGAGTCCAGGCAGCCCTTACGTCTCCCCGCTAATTATTAGCCGAGCGCGTGAATCGCGTGACCAGCGTCGTCCCACAAGAGGCGCGAACCCGGAACTATTTCCTACGCGCCGGTTTTCTCCGCTCCCCTGCGTCTGCCGTCGGTATTTTTTTTTTTTTATTATTCTATCCCTCGGTCGGTCGTCGCCGGTGAGAGGCACGACGCTGCCGTTCTCGTGGGCGGAGCAGTACAGGAACACCGCGGAACAAGTGAAATTGTATCGCGTTCGAGGTTCCAGATAGAAAGTATCGCGGCCTCTCAGCAGGGCACTTTGCGTCTAGCAAAGTGGAACGGTCAGATTAATCCTGGACACCTGGGGGTCCTTCCGAGGAGCGGAATCAATTCCGATCATTCAATTTGAATTTATGAAAAGTACAGTCCTGCGGATAGTAACTGAAATTAGTAACAACGCAAAATTTACTCGAAAAATTAGTTTTAGCTAACAAATATTAATTAGGCGAGATAAAGGCTAATTTGGATTGCGTAACACGTTTAAGTTGCTATTTAAATCCAATCTTAGAACGGAATTCATTTAGATCTCTCACATAGACTTGTCTATGAATTCGAATTTTATGGAACGTTCACACAAGTCACTTCCGTTTGATAACAATTTATGTTTCTCTCAATTTATCGGTGAGGCGCACACGCAAATCTTCGCCTTCCAAAAATTTGTGGAGCAAACGATTTAATGATTTAATATTAACGACGTAACGTAAGTGTATGTTTTTGAATGCGAGAAATGAATTTTGCCCGGTTCCATCTAGAGTATAAACATACTAGAGTATGATATATAATATTATATATAATATAATATTCACATACACATATTGGAAAATTTTTTTAATTAGTAAGCTATTTCCTATTGATATGATTATATCGAAAACAAATTTCAAAAAAATTTAGCAGTGACGGTGACGGAATTGAAACACTTAATCGAGCCACAATCGTATTTATTAAGTTATATTAAAAATGCTTTGCTAAATTTCGCTTTTAAGTCCGCGACAGTCCGCCTAAACAAAAGATTCTACCCTCGTGGTGTCTTGGATGGGGTTTTGATAGAACCTGATAATAATTTAACAATAATTAAGCTTTCAATCAATGTTCTACATGCCTCAGTGGTCGAATTGGTGAGACGCCTAGTAAATTTTCTGTGTTAAAAACACGTTGCCAGTTATGGTTATTGTACTGGCGTCAAATAATTCTTGACGTTAATATAATTTCGATTATATATTTCATAATATAAAAACTTCCAGCCACAAAAAATAAATATACCGCGCACGAAAGATACGCGTCTTATGTCACCGTTTCTCAATCTTTCGTAATCGACGGGCCATCGAATAGTTACTGAAAAAGAAATAGGTGGGCATTTATATGCCGTGTATTACGCAAGAGACGAGCGTTCGCGACGATGTTCCGCGGATCATCAGACCGTCTTTCGGCAGAAAGCCGCTCGCAAAGACGGCTTTACGCAGCCCCGAGTACACGTAATTGCCGCGCGCGGACTTAGTGAAATCGGTGCATTCAGCGTACAATTACACGTGCCCGCTCGCACCGCCGACTCGGAGAGAGATCGTGACCTTTATCAGCTTATGAAGCCCCGCCGTCGGCGGCGAGGAACGCTATTCTTACACCTAGGCATAGTGTTTATCTATCGTGCAAAGGCGAATTACGTATGAAAACCCAACATCTCACCTTTTCGCGCATTATGCGCCTTGGTTCGTTAAAGGTATTACCTAATCGAAAAGCATTTCTCAGGCTTGTACTTGCGTTACTCATCGATACCCGCGCGCCAAATCGCTTGCCCACGCTCGCGCCGATATCCTGGCGGCTGCTCCGTTATGTAAACGAAAAAGTTGCGCTACCGCCTAGTTTTCCTCGCCCAGATCCGCCGCAATTTCTGGCTGGGTTACGCAACCACCTGACGCTTTCCACCGAGTGTGTTTTCGCAAAGGGACTTTCCGAAAACGCGGTGTGTAGAACGCGTTTCGTTCCACAAACCGTTCAGAAAATGTTCAGCAGCGTGGGAAAGTTATCGATAGGCTAATCTTAGAGTCTTGGGGCAGAAATTTATTCATCTGTTTGATTTTACGTATTCGTTGGTGTTCTTTCGGCAGAAATTAAAATCCCATTTCGTGTGCGGATCGTGGGATCGTGGGACACCGATAAATTGTTCCAACGATTACTCGAGCTTTTCTTTTTATAAAGTGATGGATTACAAGAATCAAAGGCGAGAAGCATTGTAACTGCACGTTTTACACACTTTCAATTACAATCACGCTCTGGCTTTCAATGTTGCAACACTGAAACAATATTTAGCAATCGTGTTTCAATATTATTTTATCAATAATACACGTCATGGACAAATATTGGAACTCGTGTAATTCCGTACTTATTTCATATTTTATTTCTTACGCTTCTTACTAATTGTGGGCCTCAAACTGGGTCGCTATCTTTTTTCCCACACGGAAAGAGATGCGGTTGAATTAAGCAAAATGAAGTTGCTTAAATTAAACGTTAACGTCACGGGCTGCCACAAACATAAATAATTCACTCAATTGTATTTGCTATGGATTTTAATTTGAACTATTCAACTAAATTATATATAAATTATATATAAACCAGATTATTGAGACAACAATCTGGCCTTTTGCATTTATTAATACTGATGTTGTTTCAACGATTTGATTTTTCAATTACACTGATCTTGTTAATACAACATCATTCTCTTTTCCGTGCCGAGTACTGACAGACGAAAGAACTCCGTGTCTTTCGAGAAGAATAAAAATTGCAGGAATAATTCTCCCGAACACGGTCGCACTGCTTCCTCATTGGTGAGAGTATCTCTTCGGCAAGGGGGGGGGGGAGGAGATGTAAAACAAAACCGTGAGAACTCGTGTCCTGCGTGTCGTGTTACTGGAAGGTGCGTTTCAGCAAAAACGATCGATCTCGTCCCATCACACCGAGAGGATATCGCGGCCGGGAGCGCGCCGGGACTTCCCTTCTCTCTCGCCCTGGCCCTTGGGGCCCACGGCCATATATGAAACGTTGGGCAATCCCGTCGGTGAGACGTAGGTGGTTACGGGATACCGTTACACGCGTTACACCCACCTCTATTCTATAATATAGATCAGAGCCGCGAGAACGAGAGAGATCCGCAGCCGCGCGCATAAACCCTCTTATATCATCGTCCGCCGTGCGGCGCATTGAACGTTTCATTACCTATGCTTTACATAAGCCGCACGACGACGACGACGACGACGACGACGACGGGAGAGGAACGCGCCGTTCCCCGGTCGTTCCAGAGAGACTCTCTTAAAGGCCCGAAAGGACTCTCTTCCTCGCGCCTACTTG